GTGTTTCTTCTCATTGCTTGTTTTGTTTTCAACATTGAGTGCAATACTCTGTATATGTGCACCCAGGGTAAAAAGTTTAAATGACTGTAGAGAAGTGTGCCAACGAGTAGTTGGTTGTTATGGGTTCAATTACGTTTCAGCTAACAAACTTTGCTTTTTAAAGGTATAAATATCGTATAGACTTATATAGGGTATAGTCTTTTAGTATAAAACGCTCTAACAAGAATTTATTACTTACTTTTCTTTAATACAAACTAAACTAATATATTGTAAATGAGTATTTTACCATTGTTTCTTTTTTTATAACTTATTGTTGTAATTAATTTTAGTATTTTCAAACTTTAAATATTTAACTCTTCTATATATAAAATCAAAGTTTTAACTATTATTGTTGATGCTTAATTTTTTCATTATAAATGTTACCTATTTTTTATAAATATTCAAAGGTACTTTCTTAACTTCGGTAAATGTGCTACTTGTACGCAACCTTGAAACTTAAAATTTAATTCGGATTTTATATATATTGTATTTATATAAAACTTATATTTAATATATGTGTGTTCACAGTATCTATACATGTATATATATATATATATATATATTATATATATATATATATATATATATATGTATATATATATATATATATATATATATATATATATATATATATATATATATATATATATATATGTATATATATATATATATATATATATATATATATATATATATATATATATATATATATATATATATATATATATATATATATATATGTATATCCAGACATGGAGCAAACTCTAAATGTTTATGTGTTTATTCTTATATCAAATAAGGATGCTTTGCAAAAAAATGCGATGATTGGAACCTTAAAATTAACCTAAAATTTTAGCTACATCTACACCAAACGTGAGAGCAACAAGTTGATAAAATATTTTTTCTACTTTTCTTAACTAACTTTATATTCATTGATAAATTTTCAAACTCACACAATAATCTCTTAGCGTTCAACAATTATGGCCTTATAAAATTTGTAATCCCCTCAAATTGAGGGGGGGGGGGCTAAAGCTTTTTATAATCGTAGTTTTTGAACGCTATAAAATTTTTGAGTAAATTTTAAAATCTATTGATGTATATAGATTTAGTTAAGAATAGTATAAAACTTATTTTATCAACTTGTTGCTCTCACGTTTGGTTTCTCAGGTGTAGCTAAAATTTTAGGGATTTTTTGTTTCTAGGCTTCCATCATTGCAATTTTTCACAAAGCATCCTTATTTGATATAAGTATAAACATATAAATTTTTTGAGTTTGTTCTATGTCTGAAAGTTAGGTAACTCAAAACTCAAATAATTCTGCATATACTTGATATACTGCATATACTTGAAGAACGGATATAAACTTTACGATTATTTTTTTGTTTTCATCACAAAACCAATCACAAAATAATTATTTTGTTCTAATCATTTAATCATAAAATTGTTAAAACTTTATTAAAGTTAAAATTTATAAGTTTCAATTTTTAAATTTAACAAACTCTTTTTAGGATAAACCATGGAATTGGCGTCCCATTTATTCATTAGGGTCGTTTTCTGGCTTTGCAGCATTTAATCAAACATATGAAAACACAGATTTTAATCAAGGAGACATGAATGACTGCAATGTAAATCACAAACGAACGGTCAAAGATAAAAAATATGTCAATCTCTCAAACAAAAATTAACATTTTGTTTTATATTTTTATATTATTTTTGTAAAACAGTTCAAAAAAATCTAAAATAATAAAAGAAAGGTTGTTTTGCTTATGTTGTTTCGCCAATCCTTTAATACATATGGTGAAGGAATAGGATTGCATATGCATTACAACGATAATTAGAAATAGATAAAAACTTGTAAACTAACTAAAATTATTGTGTGTATAAATGCGCGCGTGCATTGTTAAAAAATTCGCCGCAGAATCTACGGAGATTGTCCGGCAGCCACATTCTCCGTAAAAATTAACAGAAAAAGTCCGTTAAAAAAAAATTACAGAACTTTCTCCGTAAAACTTACAGTTTCCGTATTTCATTGTTTACACGCAAATTAACGGAAAAATTCCGTTATTTACGCTAAAGTCAAAAATAAATGAAAAGAATTTATATGTTGTTATAAAAATGTAATTCGGCTATTAAGAAACTACTCGAATAATATGATAGACATCAAGTAATAATAGCCATAATAATTATAAACAAATTATATTATATTATAGATAAATAAATTATATTATATTATATAATAAAATAAACAAATTATATATATATATATATATATATATATATATATATATATATATATATATATATATATATATATATATATATATATATATATATATATATATATATATATAATTATATATATATATATATATATATATATATATCTATATCTATATCTATATCTATATCTATATATATATATATATATATATATATATATATATATATATATATATATATATATATATATATATATATATATATATATATATATATATATATTTAAACAATTTAAAATGTATTCTACAAAAAGAATGCTCAATGTTCTTAAAAGAACAGAGCAATTACAAATTAGTAGAAAATCACTTAGCAAAATTTTTTTCTCATTTAACACTGTGTTTCATCAATAAAGACTCATCAGAAACTCTGATGAGTCTTTATTGATGAAACACAGTGTTAAATACGAAAAAAATTTTGCTAAGTGATTTTCTACTAATTTATATTTATATATATATATATATATATATATATATATATATATATATATATATATATATATATATATATATATATACATATACATATATATATATATATATATATATATATATATATATATATACATATATATATATATATATATATATATATATATATATATATATATATATATATATATATATATATATATATATATATATATATATATATATATATATATATATCAATTATGATAATGGAAACCATTATAAAAATAAAAGGGTATGCCAACCAAAATAACAATCAAACTAATCTAACGAGTTTCTATTTTTAAAAAATGATTTATTCGATTGTACAAATTTTATTTAAAATTTAACTCTTCAAAAACGGTGTAAATTATAACTGTACATAAACTTGGTTTAAAACGGTAGTTAAATATGAACAAGATATAACAAGAATAAACTCACTTAAACGGAATAAAGTATGATTAAAAATAAACTTAGCATAAAACGAATATTTCCAGTATATATTATAATTATATATAAACAGTGTATAAAACGAATAGTTCCACCAATGTGGTACACATTTTTAATACAAACTACTCCAATAATGTGGTGTTAAATTATAATTAAATATATACTTAGTATCAAACAAATATTTCCAGTCAAAGGGCATAACTTATAATTAAAGCTAAACAAAGTATAAAGCAAATAGCTTCACTTAAACGGTATAAGCCTTAAAACTAAATATGAGTTTTGTATAAAAAATAAATACTTCCAGTATAAGGGTATAAATTGTAATTAAATATAAACTACGTATAAAACGAATAGATCTACTAAAACAGTTTACATTTTTACAAAACAAATAACTAAAATGATGCAGATCATAATTATATATAAAATAAATATAAAACGAATAGCTCCATGTAAATGGTATAAATTGTAATTAAATATAAATTAATAATAAATAAATATTGCCAGTTAAAGGGTTATGCTTCTATATAAACTCATATAACTAATGCACGAATATTTTCAATAAAAACAGTATAAACTATAGGTAGATATAAACAAAGTATAAAATGAATATATTCGCTAAAATTGTTTTATACAGTATACGAGATATACGTGATCAGAAACTAGAATTTTCTCCTCATTTTTACTAATGTAAAACTTGTATGCAATGAAGAAAACGATTTATGTCATACTTTTTCACTTCACCAATTTTCATAATACCTACACATGCCACCAGTTTTGTCCTCGTGAAAAATACTGTTGGTGTAAGAACTGGGCTTTGAATCAAAAGAACTGCAGGTTCAGATCTACCATAGCTTTATGGATAAAAGTTTTAATACAACCAATCTTCAGAAATTTAAAATTTGATGAATTGCTATTAAAATGCTCACATGGGAATACACAAAACGCTAAGAAGCTACTTAACAAACTTGTTTGGACTCGTGTACAACAAAGAGTTTTCCAAATCAACATTAGAAATGAGAACATATTCAGCTATTTTGGCATATAATGATGGTGCTAAGGGTGTTACTATAATAAAACTATAGTATTTTGAGACATTTTGGTTTATATGGTGTGGTATCAAACATTTTAGCGACTGCTAAAAGTAAAAAGTTAGCGACTGCTAAAAGTAAAAACAAGGATTGGTCGAACAAGGTGCAACTCGTCAGGAAAGAGAAAAAAAAAAAGAAGAAAAACTCTTAGAATCATAAGAAAAGGTGAATGACGAGAAAGAAACCTTAATTTTAATTTTATTTTGAAAGTTAGTTACAATTTTTTTCAACTTGGTATTGCACCACGTTAAATGCAATTCTGTGGTGCTCTGTGATATGACCGACTTTTTACAGCATCTAAATAACTATTAAAAAAAATGTTAATGACACATTACAAAAATATTTTTTCGCAAGAATTTTGTTGTTATTTTATACGAAAATGTCAAGTTGGAGTACTCCAACTTTAGATGTGTCAAAATAAATTACTTTTGAACATAAATTCAACTAATTGAGTTTCAAAGCAAATTATTTGAAACATCTAAAAAACCTTGATAATACTAGGCGGGTATTTACTTACACTCACTCACGCGCGCGCATATGTATTTACCTACACTCACTCACGCGCGCGCACACACAATAATGTTAGTTGGTTTTCAAGTTTTTAGCTATTTCTAATTATCGTTGTGATGCATATGCAATCCTATTTCATCGCCATATGTATTAAAGGATTGGCGAAACAACATAAAAAAAAACAGCCTTTCTTTTATTAACTTAGCTTTTTTTGAACCGTTTTACAAAAATAATATAAAAATATAAAATTAAATGTTAATTTTTGTTTGAGAGATTGACAAGTTTTTTATCTTTGACCATTCGTTTTTGATTTACAATGCAGTCATCCATGTCTCCTTGATTAAAATCTGTGTTTTCATATGTTAGATTAAATCCTGCAAAGCCAGAAAACGACCCTAATGAAGAAATGGCACGCCATCTCCATGGTTTATCCTAAATAGAGTTTGTTAAATTTAAAAATTGAAACTTTTGAGTTTTAACTTTAATAAAGTTTTAATAATTTAAAATTTTTATGATTAAATGTTGAAAACAAAATAATTATTTTGTGAATGGATGATGAGAACAAAAAAAACCGTAAAATTTTTATCTATTCTTCAAGTATAAAGTAAGTGAAAATAACACTTAAAATAAATCAAATATATATATACATATATATATAAATATATATATATTATATATATATATATATATATATATATATATATATATATATATATATATATATATATATATATATATATACATATATATATATATATACATACATATATATATATATATATATATATATATATATATATATATATATATATATATATATATATATATATATATATATATATATATATATATATATATATATATATATATATATATATATATATATATATATATATATATATAGATACTGTGAACACAAATACATTTTATATAAACTTTACATTAATACAATATATATAAAATTCAAATTAAGTGCTAAGTTTCAAGATTGCGTACAAATAATACATTTACCGAAGTTAAGAAAATACCTTGGAATATTTATTTAAAAAAAGGTAACATTTATAATAAAAAAATTAAGCATCATCAATAATAGTTAAAACTTCGATTTTATATATAAAAGAGTTAAATATTTAAAGTTTAAAAATACTAAAATTAACAATAACAAATAACAATAAGTTATAAAAATAGAAACAATGATTATAGTCATTTACAATAAGTTTAGTTTGTATTAAAGAAAAGTAAGTAATAAATTCTTGTGAGAGTGTTTTTTATACTAAAAGTCTATACCCTATAGAAGTCTATACGAGAATAATACCTTTAAAAAGCAAAGTTTGTTAGCTGGAACGTAGTTGAACCCATAACAACCAACTACCCGTTGGCACACTTCTCTACAGTCATTTAAACTTTTTACCCTGGGTGCACATATACAGAGTATTGCACTCAATGTTGAAAACAAAACTAGCAATGAGAAGAAACACTTCATTTTAAACCGTAATCTAAAAAGATAAAATTGTAGTCAATGTTTTTATTCTTTATATCTGGTAATTTTATTTTTTATTAACATAACAATCATAAAAACAACAACCCTATAAAAAACAACAATGATAGAAACAACAATCATACAAACACAACAAACATAAAAACAGGTAAAGTTTTATTTAACTCACCTTGGAACTGCAGACAGAATAAATGTTTCATTGAAAATCATTGAACTTTTATACTGTTTTTTTATTATCCTTAACTAGTTTAAAACTTGTTTCAAATATTCAAGTATCTTACCTATTATAAATAATAGATAATTTGGCAGATAGTCTGTGCTGCGGAATGTAACATATATTAATATTGGCACCAGAACAAATATTACTCATGGTCCTTAATTGATTTAAACAGAAGTAAAATTTTTATTTAATTGTTATAATTTCCTTAAATCTTTCAGCATTAGTCTTCTTTTAATCTAACCGACAAAAAAAGTACACGAAATCAAGTTAAAGTTCAAAATCGCTTTTGTACATATTTGTGCTGAGAGCCTTATTTTAACAGAGGAAGTTGTTTGTGGCAAACTTTATTAATTGCAGATAGCTGCAAAACATTTAATTTTAAACATATCCGAACTAGAGAATGTGGAAAAGAACTTAAAAGACAAAAAAAGGCGTAATTGGAAACCTTTAATTAACATTCTAAAAAACGCCCTATCACGAAGCGATTATTTCCTTAGATAACCCGCATGAAGAAATTTCAAAAAAACGACGCCTATAGAGATTTGTCCGAAATGTAGACAGTTGATACAAAATTAAAAAAAAAAAAATTCAATTTTATTGTTGATGACAAGAGCATAATTCACATATTCACATTAGACTAATTGCTATTTCATCCTGATATCTCATATTATTTAAATGACTGGACTCGGCTACCTAATGATATTTAGCCTTATAAAAAAGCGAAATATGGGGCAGAAATTTTTCTCCGAATATTTAAAAACAATTTTAGTAAAAAATAAATTGGATGCTGATCAAAAAATCTGACCAGCTGTATACTAAAGCAATTCCATTTGTTTGGAACAAAAAAACAATGTTAAATATGCATATTTAACATTAAATATGCATATTTAACATTGTTAAATATGCATTGTTAAATTTGCAAACAATGTTAAATATGCATATTTAACATTGTTTTTTGTTCCAAACAAATGGAATTGCTTTAGTATTTTACTTTTGTGACTGATATAACATAGTATCATGAAACTTAATCAAGCCGAAACACATATTTTTTTCGGCTTGATTAAGTTTTATGATACTATGTTTCATCAGTCACAAATTGACTCTAAGCACTTTTTTTTTATTCTTTATTTCGCCGTTAAAGAATACTTACAATTACAAAGTACAAGAATAAAAGATGTACATGACGGGGAAGACTATTATTGTTTTATCACTAAGCCCCGTACAATGTTTATAATAGCTTATACCGTAAGATACATATCTTATAAAAACCGTTTAACACAAAAAACAATATTAAATAATAAAATCATTATTTTGCACTGACAAAATATAATTAAATAGAGATCAGCTAACAAAAAAAATAAAAATCTACAAAACAAAAAGAAAAAAAAAACTGTTATATATCTCATATTTATGTATCTGAATATATATATATATATATATATATATATATATATATATATATATATATATATATATATATATATATATATATATATATATATATATATATATATATATATATATATATATATATATATATATATATATATATATATATATATATATATATATATATATATATATATATATATATATATGTATATATATATATATGTATATACATATATATATATATATATATATGTATATACATATATACAAAACTAAAATTCCAACACAATTACGTGAATTTAAAGTGTACATAAAAAGTTGCCCAAAATTCGTACATAAACTACGTCACATTCGTACATAAACTCAGGGGAGGGGGGAGAGGGTTAAACAGTTTTGTGACGACTCTTATAGAACTTGTTACTAAAAAGTTGCGATGTTGTGACGAGGAGGAGAGAAAAGAGGGGTTTAATAACATATTCATTATGTAATTAAAAAATCAATAATAGAAATACTCTGTTTAAACGTCTTAGAAACAATTTCATTTATTGTCGTTTAGTAAAAGATTTTGAGTTTCGTTTTAAATTGATTAAGCGAAGAAAGTGTTTTAAGATCGTCCTTTAAAATTCCATGATTTAGGTTCTCGGTTTGTTATTGAGTATTTTGTGGATGAATAATAGGTTTTGGATTGACCATAACTATTTATCTAAAATCTTGTGCTGTATATATGATTTTTATTTTCTAATGTGTTACATAATAACGGTGCCATTCACACGGAAAGCAGATGTTGCAAAAACGCAACATAAATTAGGGTTGTTCGCCGAAAAACAAAACTTGCGAAAATTTCGCATTTTTATCTACCGTAATAGAATTGTTATTACGGAAGTTGCACATGCGAAAATGCACTATACGAAACGCGCTATACGAAAATATAAATAAATAAAATTCCGTAATAAAGCATTGCGAAAGAAAACTTGCGAAACAAATCATTTCGTAAGTATACTTACGAAATAGTTCCTTACGGAAAAAGCATTCCGGAATGTGTAGTTACGAAAAAGACGCAAAATATTTTATGTTACGATATATTTAAGATATTTACTGTTAACAGTTTAAATAATAAAATTATAAAAAAATGTTGTCAAATGATTCTTCAAATGTTTATACAAATATACCTAATATATATATATATATATATATTTATACATATATATATATATATATATATATATATATATATATATATATATATATATATATATATATATATATATATATACATTAACGGGATTTTACTGTATATATATGTATATATATATATATATATATATATATATATATATATATATATATATATATATATATATATATATATATATATACATTAACGGGATTTTACTGTATATATATGTATATATATATATATATATATATATATATATATATATATATATATATATATATATATATATATATATATATATATATATAAATATATACTTATATATACAGTAAAATCCCGTTAAGTTGGACTCTCAATGAATAGATAAACAGTATGCCTTTCTTTTTAAAAAGTATAAAGAGGATGTGTGATAAACAATTAAATACTTTATTATAAAGAACGAGAGATCTCTCTAAAGGTAAATGATATCAGAAAGAGTAAAAAGAGAAGAAATATATGTGAAACAGCAGGATGTGAACCTGGGTCTACGCGGCCAAATGTCTTAACTGAATGAGCTATACGTTCATTCAACTAAGAGAATAGTAATATTTATTTAATATATAATTTGAAACTATATAAAACAGAATTTACAGAAAGAGATACGTATGCAAATAGGATTCTATATATCAGGAAAATGAATAGTAATGTGAACCTTTAGATGCTTATAATTAATATCTGGACTCAAAAACTAGTTACTTTTAATGGAACACAATAGGCTGTAGGAGCCTCAGGGAAATTATATTCAGAAATGGTTATATTAGACTCAGAGTTAGCTAGAAATTATTACAAAGAATTTAGGACAGATGTCTACACCTTTTCAAGATGTAATTGAGAAAACAAAAATTGTAATTAAGAATCGTAAGATGTAATTGAGAAAACAAAAGTTGTAATTAAGAAACGTAAGATGTAATTGAGAAAACGTAAGTTGTAATTAAGAAACATAAGATGTAATTTAGAAAACGAAAATTGTAATTAAGAATCGTAACATGTAATTGAGAAAATGTAAGTTGTAGTTAAGAAATAGAAAGATGTAATTGAGAACACGAAAATTTTAATTTAGATATCGCTTTAAAGGAGTGTGTAATATGGCGCTTAAAAAAAATGGCGCGTAAAAAAATGGAGCGTATAAAATGACGCACTTAAAAATGACGCAAGATTTGTAGCGTAAATTTAATTTTTTAGGGAAAAATTTAGGGAAAAATTTATAATTTTTGGGCAAATGAATTTAACATAATAAACACTAAAAACATTTTAGGAAAAATTTATAATTCAATTAAAAATTATAATTAAAAATTATATAATTAAAAATCACTTCATTGATCATTTAAGCACCAACTTGTACGTCTTCCATATTTAAAATTGTTGCATAGTGCGTGGTTGTGTGTTGTACCGCACGTGCACAATCTCCTCCAATTATAGTATTTTTCGCCTCAATTACAATTCGTTCTAAGTACTGCATGCGCTGTTCCGCAATCCCGTCACCTAATACAGGTGGAATGCGAATTGCATTTTTAACGTTACTTTTAATTTTGGACCAGATCGTTTCCACCGGGTTCAACATTGGACTGTAAGGTCCCAAACGTAACAACTGAGCTGGTGAATTATCAAACACCCTTTGCAAACGAGCGTGACAAGGAGCATTATCTGTTACGACGACCAAATCCTCCAAACGATTTCCGGATGTAACCCACTGGTGAAACATAGCCAACATCCACTCGTTACAGGAATCTGCTTTAAATGATCCCCTGCGAGTTTCTATCATGACGACATTTGTAGTTGAAATAGCTGCGATCAAGTGTATGTTTAAACCTTTTGAAGCAGGTACTTTCATAATTGCTCTTTTTCCTTGTTTCCTTGCGTTTTTCTACAAAAAAGGTTAAAATTTGTTTCATCCAACCAAACTATCTGACGACCATTTGTGATATGTTCGTTGATGTTTCTAACATATTCAGCTCTTTTTTGTTTGTTTTCATAACTGTTCATTGTAGAAGGCTCCTTGTGCACTTTTTTTAATGAGAACAATCTGCCTTCGAGGTAATTTGCTATTGTTGTTGTGCTAACGTTTATGTTAAATTGTCTTAATATCTTTGTTTTGATGGCCACTAATGTTAATTGATAATCATTTTCAATCCATGTTAATGTTTCTTCGATTTGATCTTCGGTCAACTTTTTTGGTTTAAAACCTCCTTTTCCGATGAAATTTGAATTTCCGCTGCGAACCCAATTGTATGCTGTCTTATATTTGATACCTAGCGTTTGCGCGAGATTCACCCAATCTTCAAATCGCTCCGCACATTCAACAACTCTTCTCCTGTCATTTGGAGAAGATAAAACGTAACGTTTCCTTTCAACTTGTTCAGTTGTGTGTATTTCATGCCGACAAATCGGACAACTTGAATCTGGTTGTTCCAGAACTGGACGTAAACAAATTTGGTGACATAAATGTTGACACGGATTTAGCTTAATCACAGACTTTCGAGTCATAGTGTATTGGCATATAACACAACGATCTTTCAATTCCATTATTATTACTTGTGCATACAAAAGCAAAATTTAAGATTATAACTTAAATTCATGTCCAAAAAGACCTTTTGTAACAACCTACAAACTTAGACTGTGAATTTGCTACTTTAATTTATGTGTTCTCAATTACAAGTTACGATTTCTCAATTACATATTATGATTTCTCAATTATATCTTACGTTTTCTCAATTACATGTTGTGTTTCTTAATTACATGTTACGTCTTCTTATTTACATGTTGTGTTTCTCAATTACATATAACGTTTTCTCAATTACATGTTGTGTTTCTTAATTACATATTATGACTTCTTAATTACAATATTCATGTTCTCATTTACATCTTGAAAAGGTGTAGTACAAAAAGCAAAAGATTTAAAACAAAATGAATTATATTATTTGAAAAAATTGTTTTACGTACATTTCATCATAATTTAAGTAGAACTTAGTAAAGCAAGGGAAACGTGTTGAATTAAGCACAATGAACTCAATCTTAAAAGAATAACTAACAGAAGAGAGGTTGTCACTATTGTGAAGGCGACGAATGATCTGTAATATAGAACATGGAGGTCAAAAAATGCTATCGTAAGTAAAAAGAGTTTGATGAACAAAAGTTACAATGGCTGCGGGATGCGAACCCGGATCTCTGCGGCGAATTATCACGTATCTAACTGATTGAACTATACAATGTTATACTCAAATTTATATCTTATTAAAATTAAAAAACAAAATTTTCTATGATCTATACTTTGAAAAGCGTATTTAAACAGGACTCTACATACCTTTAAAATCTGCTAGAATTTTAGTAACGTGCACACTTTTAGAAATTATTGAAATAGGTATATTTTATCAGAAATATGCTTAAGCTAAAGCATATTTTTGAGCCTCTTTTTAGTATTTGCTTAAGCATATTCGAACGTGTTTCAAAAATTTCATATGCTTTAAAAAAAAAACATGTATATTACTACCCATCATTCTTATTTTTAATATACGTAATGAGTTCAAAAAACATCGTTGTATATATTTATTATGGCACGTTTCGTAAGTTTATTTTTGCTAAGAATTCTTTCGTATGTTGTGATCCGAAATACTTTTGTTTCGAAAGAAATTTTATTTTTTATCAATATTTCTAAAAATAAAACCGTAAAAATTTAATAAGTTATTTTACTGAAAATAAAAATTCATTATAAACATTTTGGGATTTAAAGATGTTAATTTTTACAATTAAAATCAATCTGGCAAACAAATTTTCTTTATAGACATCAAAACGTCGTTTGGCAAAAATGTTTGTTTCGCAAGTGCGACTTCCGAAACCGCTACTTTCGTATGTTGCAAAATAGTTTTGTTTCGTATGTCAACTTGCGAAATGCTAAATTTCGGAAGTGGCTTTTGCGAAATGAACATCGGCGATTTTAAATGTTTTGTAACATTCGGTACGAAAAAATGTAATTCCGTGTTCTCAATCTCCTTACGAAAGAATGTTGTTTTTCCGGAATTGCACGAAACCCTCCGGTTAACAACCCTAACATAAATGTTGATTGCCGCGCAACATTCTATTTTGGCATTTGACTCCCAAATATTAATGTTGACAATTTTCAACATTAAAAGTTGCATAATTTAACGCAACATTTAATGTTGCATTTATTACAACACAAATGTTGAGAAATTTTACTTTAGGCGACTACTGCGAGAACTGCTTTGTAGACATTAATTTTTTTTACTTCTGCATTTTAAGGACTGCGCGGATCATACTTTTTTCAAATTAACTCAAAATTGAATTTTAAGTAAAAGTATGAATTTAGTAATTGCGCACACTAATAAGGTGTCATTCCATAAGTGTATCCGTGGGATCTTAGGTATTTCGATAGTCTTAATAATATTATTTCAAAGTAATAATGCTCGAGAATTAAATAAAAAACAAAATATAACTAAAAAATTTAATAAATTTTTTCTACTAAAATAAAAAAAGTAATTGTTTTTAGTTCTTTAGTACAAACTTTTCAGTCATTGCTCCCAAGAAGTCTGATAAAGCGGCACTTTTTCCGATCGAAATATTGGTCTGCATGAGATGCTCAAGCAGACCATAAAATGGCTTTATTTCGTGTGGATAACTTAAATTAAACACATAAAAACACTTCAACAAAAACTCCATCGCATCACAAAAACAAGCTGCATCACAAAGTTCGATGGCCCGATCATCCAACTTGATATAATAAATTTTATTAAGACAAAAAAGTAGGGGTGGGAGGTTGTGTATGCCTGCCCATACGTTTTTTTGTAGAGAAGCAACTGCTTCAGGGACACTCATCTGTTCCTGTATAAATAAATATAAATATAGATTTATAATTTATAAGGCATGAAAATAATTGCGTGACTTTTGAACGACTGAACTGTTTAAAAATTGTTTAAACTTGCCTCATTCATATCCACAAACATCTGATTCGACACTACATCCCTCCCGACTCTAGGAGCTTTTAAGCATCGTTGCGGTGGTGGAATCAATATGTGCGGCAACAGCAAGAACGATAACTCAGTCTTTTTGTCTAGAAAAGATAATTAAAGAATTTTTCATTTATGTAGTAATTAGGACAAGTTTAAAAAATCCTGAAAATTGCTTACCTTCATCAAATTCATTAGATTGGTACGCTCTTAACATTTGTTGCATATTAGAGTTACCTTTAAGATTTTCAGAGTAAACAAGTATCTTTTGGCTTAAAGATAGCATAGCAACTCGCAGAAAAAGAAATTCGCCTGCAATCGCTGCAAACTCTTTGCTAATCTAAAAATAAAGGAAGAAGAATAACAGTGTCGTTTTTTTTTGTGCAAAAATATTGTCATATTTGTAAAATTTCATGAACAATTTATGAAATTTTATGATCAGTAAAAATTATTTTAAATTTATTCTATTCCATCCATATTTATATTGAACTGTAACAATATCAGGATAACCTGACAATGATTTTGCAGAATATATGTTAACGAAATAATTTTTATTTTGTTTGGTATGTTCCATTCCACTAAGTTGCATATGAAAATATATTTACCTTATTGAATTTTTTATTTATAGACTTTATAGAATTTAAAAAACAAAAGCATACCAACTCGTTTACATCAAACAAACGAGGGAATTTGTTTAAAATACTAGTGGCATCAGGATTGCAAGTATTGATCCAAGCTCGTCTATGCTCTCTAGTGTTATGCATGAGCTGCACTAACTCAGATAGGTTAACCGCCGTTGGTCTACTTTCTCGAAGACGACGCTCATCATCATCAATGTTTGATAAAGGATTAGTAATGGTAACTCTAACAAATTTAAAAAAGTATTACATACACATTTTGGTAACAAAAAAGTAACGCTAAGATTAACCCTAAAAAAAAACTTATTTTTTCGCCAAGTCCAATGCTTTTTAATAAATGGGTCTTGGTGACGTTTTTGCCGCACATATTGGGCAAGGTAACCAGTGGCACCCTTTGCACAGTAGATCTCTTCCTTTAAAAAAAAGAAGCTAGATTATGATTAGTCTTACAATTATATAGCGTTTGAAAATGCACAACTAATTAATGTTTAGATATCCATTTGCTGTGGTTTTGAAAATAGAACCGGAAATTCCATGACAGTACTCTTTGCCAAATTTGTCATTTCTTTTGAACTAGGATCATTTTGACTAAATAGAATTGGGTAAAAAAGTTAAAATGTTATAGTCTGAAAAATTTTAAAACTAAAAAATAAAAATAAAAAAACAAACAAAAAATGATAAAAATGTTGCACAATGGCACTCACATTAAACAAATTTTCATCAGGTATTTGCCAAAGACTTTAATCATTAACACACGTTCCGATCTTGTGTAGTAGATGCCTTGTTTCAGATTTTCAACTATTTTAGTTCCTCCTTTAGTATAGTTACATAATAACTCCTCGATAGGATAAACCTGCACAAAACTGTCACTAATGAGCTAGTTTTCTATATAACTATAACAAAAATTCATAAATGCACTTTTTTATACTATTTTTTTACATTACCTGTGACTCTACAATTACAACATCACGGGCAGGTAGTGGTAGCATTATTGCAGCTGGTGTTGATACAGATGTTGGATCCATAGTTGATGAACATTCTGTTGATGATTGAGAATTTACTAATACAACAAAACAAAATTTTTATAACAACCTACAATTTATGAAAACTGGCAGAGATTATTAGAAAGCACATTTTAACTAAAATTAAATTTCTACCAATAAAAATTGGCTAAAATCAAAAATTTTATAAACTTTTATAAACAAACTATAAACTATATAAAAAAAGTACTTTTGTTAACCTAAGCATAACTATTTTAGTTATTATCAAAACTATTTTAAAGCATTAATTATAATTTATTATTTTACCACTTGAATTTATCCAAGACATCAAAAGCTTTCGCTCACCCATCTTTAAACCCAGCTCTCTAAGATCTTCTTCATTAAGCAAAACAAAGGAATCAAGAGTGAATCCCTCCTCTATAAGCCAAAGTTGATAAAAAAGTTACAAAATTTTGTCAATTAGGGATTTTGTCAATTATTTTATTAGTCATAATTAGTTTGACCAATTAAACTATAAATATGATTATGCATAAAATAAGTAAAGAATATTTAGACTAATTACTATATTAAAACAATATACCATGAATTCTACGCATAACTTCAGCTGATAGATCCCCCTTCACGATACCAGATAAATGGTTAAAAAGAACATCCATTTTTTTTTTTTGAAAAAGAAACTTAACTAAAAAATAACAAAATTATTTATAAAAACATTTCAATTTACAAAAGATTTTATGTATTTTAATATCATAGATTATCCTAGTCATATTTTAAAAATCCGGAAAATGGTTTGGAAAAAACATCCGGAAAAAATCCGGAAATTGTTTTCCTTTATTTTCTTTTTAATTTCGCTTTTGGTTAAGTTGTTTATAATTTTTTTTTGTTACTTTTCATACTTTTTTTAAGTGATGAGTGAAAAAGCTTAAAAAATAAATATATTACAAAAATTTATAACTTATCTTGCATGTATTGAAAATATTTTGGATATCCGGAAAAGCCAAAAGTTGAAAAAAATATCAGGAATTCCGGAAATATCCGGAAAAAGATAATTCCTGTAATATCAAACTATATCAACCAAATCTTAATAACAAACAATCAGAACACTATAAAGAATACTAAAAATAATTAATACTGTACTATATTCAATTTATGACAGTATTAAAATGATAAATTTCAAACAAAATTGTTGTTTTTGCAAATAAAATTAAACAACAGTATTCAGAGAAGACTTGTATTACATAATTAATAACAACAACAAAAATTTTAAAAAGACTGCTATATTCATTTCAAAATCCAATAATAAAATTAACATTTATCACACAATATGGTAAGGAAGTTGAATAAGATTTATGTTATCTTTACCTGGTTGCAAATAATTAAAGAGGGGATTATGGTCACACAAGCTATCAATGGATATGCAAATAAATTCTGCATCTAAACTCTGAGATATGACATATGCGAGAAAAATGACTACAAAAATATTCTGTAATGCATAGATGCAGCACAATGTACCATTTATCAGTATAAGGTAAACTAACAAATGATACCACCTCTCCAAATACTGGATCGCCATTTATTCTGCGACCAATCACAAAGCAATGGCCTTTGCAATATAAAATAGAATCAACATTCAATTTCAATGCTAAACAAATAACTTCTGTCTTTTCTATACCAAGTTCAATGCAAATACATTCATGGTAAGTACCAGCAAGATTTGCAACCATAAATTCCGATTTATTACCTACGGTGATAATAGTTCTCAAATATAGTTTTGAAAAGCGAGAGTAAAATGAGTTACACTGATAGCAATAAGCTAAAGTCTTGCAAATATTAACAAAGTTGCAAACCACATTTGCAGATCTTTTAAAAAATGAATTTTTCATCTTATATCGAAGACAACTCATTCCAACAAGAGGTCCATTTTTTATAATAATTGTAGGAAAATGGACCAGAAAGTGATGTTTGGGACGCAACTTTGCTACTTGTCCAAACAGATCCTTAAAATCTGATAGATGATCCGATATAAAGACTGTTAAATATGCTATCATTCCTTTGGTAAATTTAGGAGCAAATATTAAATCCACAAGTTCACATAAATTTAACAAAAAAATTCCAGCAGCCATCATCTTCAGGTACAAATCGACCAACAATCATAGGTAAATACTTAAGCAAAGACCACATTTGAACAGCCTACATTGAAGGTGAAAGTCCTCTGCCTGGTTTCTCAATTTGGCAAATTGTGGGTGGTCGTTTAGATTTTTCAACTGAATTTCGATCAAAAAATTGATACAACTATTTAAATCTGATAGCGAGAAATAATGTTTGATTTTGATTATATGGTAAAGAATGCAACCAAATTCAAAAGGTAAAACACCTTCTAGTAGTGTATGCATTGGATCAAGAACAAAATTTTCAACAACATGAAATCCAGGAATTTTATTTAAGGAGCAAGTTGCTTTGACACCATGGCTATGAGTTCCTAAAGCAAGGGTTTCTAATGCTTTCAGATCATTATTATAAGAAGCTATTGTTCTCATTTCGAAATCAGACTCGTATGTTTTAGTTTGAATGGTTTCTTTGGTTGCTAAACAGAGAGTGCAAAAGAAATCTGCAGAAAAGTATTCAATGAAGCCAAACAACCCATTGAGAGCAAGATTATCGCAAGACACCTGGCAAAGACCAACATAAATTTGTTTAGAACCAATTTTTGGAAAGTCCCCACAAAAGCCAATGGATTGTAGTTTTTGTATTTCACTTACAAAGCGTTCTAAAATATTGTTGTAGCCATAAACTTTCAAATCTTGACTATAACAAAGCGCCGATAGATGTATATTAGCATAACAAGAGTTATGACTCGGAGGCAAATTTTGAATTGTATAATAGAAAACACCAACATTACTGGTTGATGCATTTCCACGAAGAAGATTTGTTGTACCCATACCATCGTAGAATAACTGAATCATGATAGAAAATTTATTATCATTACTAAATAAGTAATGCTTTTTACAGCGTTCTCCATCTTGAAAACGGTCAATTAAATCATTGTCTTTAGTTTTATTACCAAACATCAATTCAACAAATTCTTCACCACTAAATAAGCTACGAAGATTGTTTTCAATTGACACATATTCATAGGTGCCATAGATTAATTTATTGAGTCCATTTTTAACCTCATTTCTAGTACCAATTGGAAGTGTTTCAGAATTAACAAAAAGAGGATGTTCAGCAAAACATTTATCTTGCTTGTATTTTGTAGAAAGAAATTCAAGAGGATTACGAAACTTGTTAAATACTTCTTCAAAACTATTTACAACATCTTGCCCGAGAAAAAAAAACCCGCTAATACTACTAGGAATATGTTTAACTTCCTGCTAATCCTGTTAAGTTCCTGCTAATACGGCTAATCCTGTTAAGTTTTCGCTTAATACGGTTAAACCTATTAAGTTTCCCATTAGTGAAATGACGTTTATGAATTTCCTGCTAATCCTAGTAAGTTCCTAGTAGTGTTGCGAAGGTAAAATTTACCGGAAAATTTTGAAAATTTAACGCCTGGCAAATTTAAAAAATTTTTTTTACTTATTTTTTTTTTTTTTTTGATTTTTTTGATTTTTTAAAGGAAAATTTACCGTTCTCTAATTAAAGTTTACCGGTAAATTTACCGGTAAATTTTACCGGTAAATTTTGAATCAAATTTTACTGGAAAATTTACATCACTAGTTCCTACTAAGTACTTATCAGGATTAAACAAATTACTTAGTAAGTTCCTAGTAAGTTTTCAAAAATAAAACAAGTATAAAAAATCGTCTTTGTTATACGCCATCTTTTATTTAATCACACGGAAGACAAGTCAGCCATAAAACAGCTTTTTTAGATTCAATAGTTTTACTAATTAATATTTGTAATTCTTTAAGGAAAAAGCTCAAGAACATCTGGTGATGATTGCGTGGTTTGCAGTTTATTTGATAAATATTTGTTAATGTGTTATAATATGGTTTTAAATGTTAATTTTAACTCTATATAAATTCGAGCATTTTCTGTTCAACAGAAAATGCTCGAATTTATATAGAGTTATTAAACAATACAAAATCATAAACAATGAAAATAAAAACATCAGAAATAAAAATAAAATATAATTTAAAAAACACATCACCATACATATCACTATGAATCAGAAAATGTTCGAATTGATACAACAGACTGTTGTATGGTGATGTGTTTTTTAAATTATATTTTATTTTTATTTCTGATGTTTTTATTTTCATTGTTTATGATTTTGTATTGTTTAATAAACATAAAATCACAAATCATAAACAATTATATTGTCACTCTTTCTTTTTACTATTTCTTTTTACTAAAAAGAGTAAGTGACATCTTTATTAATAAAGATTTGTCACTTTTTTTTAGTAAAAAGAAAGACTTTTATTTTTAATTTTCTTAAAATTTTATTTGTAATTTTATTTAAAAAGTCAAATTTTTATGTCAAAAAACCACTCACTTCAAGCTTGACTAAAAGTTTTAGTCAGACTAAAAGGAAGTAAACCATTTCAGGGGCGGATCTAGGGTACGTCTAGTACGTCTTAAGATGTACCCAAAAAAAAAATTAAATAAAAAAAAAAAAAAAAATTAATTTACGTTTCAATTATAAAAATAACTTTTTTGGTTAACTGTCAGCAATTTTATAGGCACTTGTGAAACAAGAAATACGAACGGTTCTTGTTTAAAGTTCTTGTTAAAAAGATATCTGTCTTTGCCGGAGGTTTAAGCGATTCTTGATAAATAATATTTAATTAAATAAACGAATGAACGTCCCCAATTTTATTTTATTATAAAATAAAAAATTATTTTAAATTTGTATTTGGTTTGTTAAAACAATAAATAAATAATATCTTTACTGATAATTATTTTTGGACGTTCATAATTTGGTACACCCTTATTAAAATATTGTCAAAATCTTTTGTTTTGTGACGATCAGGAGGTAAAACTAATGATAATATCCTATAAATAATAAGATACACCAATAGACGTCCCCAATATTATTTTATTTTATTATTTATCTTTATATTTAATTTAGTTTTCAATATTTAATTTCTAAATACTCGATTTCTTTTATAAAAAAACACTGCCAGACGTCCCTTGGTTAATACACCCTGAAATACATGCCTTATTCCTAATATTTAAAATGTTAATTAATGTTAAAAATTCAAGCATTTATTTGTGTGTTCGAGTATTAATTTAAAATGTCACTCAATCAAGAAGTTAAAAACATTATGCTACAAATATAAAGTTAAAAACATTATGCTACAAAATGATGAAACAATATTGATCGCTTTGAAAAATATATTACAAAAAAATATTAGTTCTTGTAATAATACGATTCTTGTCGACTCTTACGAAGAAGAAAAACTCTTTATCAATCAATATCAATCAATATATATTTTTCACTTTAATAATACTGTATATATATACAATTGTGCGGGACATTTACAAACAGTTATAAACTGATGACGTTATAAACTGTTATAAACTGATTTAAAATTTTGAAATCTATCTGCCAAAGAGTTTTAAAGAAAAACATAATGGCAGTTATGTTGTTTTAAGGTAAAGGTATTTGTTCAAATTCCATGATTTTTTTAATAACTATTTGGTTAGTTGTAATGTTATATTGACTGTAAGCTAGTTGAAAATACTTATAAATTTTTTATATAAGTTCATTAATTATTATATTTTATGTATATCTCAGGTCTCAATCAACTGGAAACTGTCTGTACAGTTCTATCTCCTTACGTCTTACTGGAAATAACTGTATAGTTAACGATTTAAGATTACAGACCTCAATTGAGCTATTCTTAAATTTATATTTAATATTCTTAAATCCGAGTTTTATTCTAACCATCCAACTTTTCATTATGCTTTTATTAACAATACTAGCTCTTTTCTTTGCTATGATAACATTCTTCCTTTATCAGTATCACTAAATTCTTTGGATTCTGGAAAAAAAAGTAAAGATTTAGTTCAAGAAGAAGCTATTAACAATTGTAACAATGAAAACTGGTCTTCTTTCTTTTGTATTCTTGCATTATCAAGTGTTTGCAACAAGAAAATAGAATGTTTGTATCCAGATTTTGGTCTACAGAAGTATAAAATTTTATTCAGCTCAACTATTTTACCTCGTATAACTTCCTTAAACACTATTGAGTCTTTACATCTCCTTTTTTGTTATGAAGGTGTATTAAATGATTTTTCCGCTCCTTTTCAACACAACCATTATACCCCTGTGATAATAAAAGAAAACTTAAAACAAAAAAATTTAAACAAAAGCTGCAAAATGTCGCAGACTAAAATAAAATTTTATTTCGAGACCAAACATCAAGATAATAACTATTCGTTGGACAATTTAAAAAGTAAACCAATGGAAGTCTCTAGTCAACCCCCATTATCATTATCAAATTTTAGTAAAATTACATGTTGCGAATCATTTTCTTTACCTTCCAATAATTATGATATTGGTTATTTGGTTTCTAACTATACTAGTTATTCAAGTATTGCAAAAACCTTGAGTAATTCTGAACTTCAACAT